AACAAACCAATTTTGGGGAATTTTTCGTGCATTAACTCCTCGAGAACAAGCTGATCGACCTGCCACAATGATTTATAGCTTTTGAGACAAAATAAATCGGTGGAACTCTGTTGTTAATTTTTAAGCTTGGCAGAAGGCAATAAATAAATACCTGAGACTCAATCATTTCTTCCGAATAATAGCCTTCGAAGTAGTCATCTAGTAAACCCGTTAAGGTCCTGAAATTTAAGCAATTTAGCAGAATTTGATTAGTCTACTAAAATTGCTACAACAACAATAATGATAAAAGATTATTGAACAAAGATGTTTCTAAGTTTCAACCCACCAAAATGCATTTTCCTCTGGCATCAAGAGTAATAACAAGCCGGCGAAGAAATTCATGGCCTGCTTGCATTGCGTAAGTCAAATAAGAAAACACATTTTTTAAACATACAACAGACAAGAGAAACTTGCAAGATTGACCAAAGCTGCCTCAATTACAAACCTTCATGGAGTAAATGTTTTAAGTAACTTCAAGAAGATAAAGATAACAGCTAACCATCACTATTGACATATTCTTAAGTCCAATATCTAAACTAACAATTGCATAAGACATGTTCTTAACCCCAGGCACAGCCATTAGTAAAAGAATCAAGAGAACATTAAGAAAAGAAAAAGGAATACATAAACCACGAAAAGCTTTGAACAGTATCAATAGAAGGATAAATAGTTTTGTAGTCTTTTTCTCCACTTCCGACAACCAGAGCACTTGGCTATTGGGGTAAAACATTTTTACAATTCCGAAAGTGTTAAGAAGAACTGAATACCAACAGATTAAAAATTTTGAAGAGCCTAATCATAATTACAAATTGATCACGCCAAGAAAAGTCTCCTGGTAAAGCAGCCAACTCAGAGGACCCAATATTAACAATAAGGATAATTTTACAAACACACACACACACACACACACACAAAAAGGTTGATTTCTGTAAATAAAAAAAATGAAGATTGAATGTGTCTTATATTTTCAACTTATAAGTGAAAAGCATCTCAAAAACGCTTCTTACGTTCGTAAAAGTACTAAAACTAGCCTCTTAACTTAAGATAGAATCAAAAGTCGGGTTCTTATTCTAGTTATGAAATTTCCTGAGTTCTTTCTATTTAATTTTGGTAATTGTAATTACTCCAAAAGCCGAGATAGTTTTCACGAAAATACCTTAAAAATCTCCTGCACTGACATATAAAATGTTGAAATACCTGACAGTAGCCAACAGAGGGATTATGACGGGCATATGCTGTAAGTAGACGCCTTAAAGCATTTCGACCACCCTCATCTAGAGCAGGATGACCAGGAAAAGTTCGAGGCAAGTCCTGTGTTAGTATAGTTATATTTCTAGTTACAGTTATAGTTAAGCAATTTATAAGCAGCATTGATTGATAGGACTTCACAAGAAAAGTAAGAACAAATAATAACCTTCTCAATCTGGCTTTTCCATTTTTCAGGTACACCCACACTCTCAAAATTCGCATCATGATTCTTTTCCTCTAGCCCATTTTTCTTAACTTCTACATTAATACTCGGATCAAGTAAATTGTTGTAGTATTTCTCTATCCGACGAGCTCTAACACCAACAAAGGCTTGCCACATCTGTTTGAGAAAATAAGAAGGATATGAATCGGATCATCATGAAGTTAGTATAATGGTAGTATTACTAAAATATTAATAATGTGACTGATGATTTGAATAATAAGAGGAAGTAAAAAAGTATACTTGTGGTTTTAATTCTAACTGAATCCTTTTTCTACTGAAACTACAGATTATGTTACTGACTTCTGAAATGACGTTGAAAAGAATTTCACCAGTAACCCCATATAGCGACACATTATCCAAATAATAATAATAAAGAAAAATAAAAAAAGTTCATGAGCAATCAAAGACATTTTTTTTTTCACCTCTCCCCTTAGTGCCATCGGGACCCCTCCTTGAACAAGACATTTGAGTTCCTCTTCCCAAGGAGGCCGAGATTCTGAAAGGGTAAAACCGTCAGAAATACAATCCTGTGAAGTTCTTTCTTCCTCAGATTCTGTTATATCCAAATCGTGGAATTCTTCCTCAGAGTCCCCTTTGCATGCCTCTTCTCTGCTAATCAAACTGACCTCATTTTTCACACGAGAGCTCATCCAATCCTCTATGAAACAAAGAGATGGCCTTATTTCAGTCCATTTTTGCTCCTCTTTGTATTTTTCAGTGATAACATTCTTGGAACTATCTTCAGCCTTTATATTGGTTGCCGACAAATCAGTGGTGGGCAATCGAGTGGTCTCTGATTGCCTATCAAGAAAGTCTTTCCATCTATCTGATCTCTCTTCCTCTTCTTCCTGAAAACACATCGTGTGAGATATGTAATAACAAAATAGTGTAAAATGAAGTAGAAATCGAACAAATAATAACAAATAGAATTTGCAAAGATAGGAAAAATGAAACCTTGTATATATTTGCATATTCCCGGTATCTTTGTAAATGCTGAGGTCTCACTGCAAACCCATACGCATCCCTGCTCGGTCAAGATCGAGAATACAACTAGGACTCAATTCCTTCACGATTTACTTATTCTAAAGGCAGATAGACAAAAATGGAGGAAATATATGAATCGGGAGAAAACAGGATAAAGACAAGTCTTTTTCCAGACAATGTGTATCCATAGTTCCTCAACAAAATTTTCTATTTACAACAAACAGAAACTTAAAGATGATCAAGACACATCAGATTTCTCTATCTGACAGTGTCATATGCAATAATCCACAGGTATTAATAGAACATGGAAAAAAATAAATAAATAAAAACAAAAAACAAAAAAAATTAACATAGTAGAAACGATATCTCTTATTATATTGTTAACACCTCATGTTTCTGTATGCCACGGGCCTTCAAATAGCCTTGAAAGGTTGCAGCAAGCTCAATATAAATACTAACACCTCAAGTTTTCATTTTGATGAAAAGAAAAGAGCAACCCTTACCTAGCCGAATGATGTTGTAACCAAATATCGCATTCGTAGACTCAAAGACATCATTATGTTAAAACTAAGGTTGCAATTTTCAGACAAATCTTTATACAAAAGACAAATGTCCAATCCCAGCAAGAAAACCATCAAATTGACTTCTTTTATAAATGTCGGCAAACCCAAAGAAAAAATAAACGAACAGAAAATGTAAAAAAGGNTAACAAAAAAAAAAAAAAGGAAAAGAAATGAAGACTGCCAAACAACAAAGATCAAATTAAGAACAGCTACACACTCCAAACCAGCGCTTCAAAATGCTGAACAACTAAACTGAAGTTTTGAGGTCACCAGCATTACTTTTGACAGTCCAAAAATCAAATCTTTGCAAGAACTAAAAAGATATTTAATTAATATAATATACAACCCAACTCAAGATAGAAAGTCGATTGCTTTTAAAGCTAGAACCTTTTGTGATCCAGAGCATGAACCGGAGCTGGGTTGACCACAGCCGCTGGTACTTTTGCCTTCATCTTCACCACTTCGTAACCTTCATTAGAAAGCCTCGTTACTCAAATAGAAACTGTAAATAAGCAGAAATTAAGAGGTGAGAGAAGGTGAGGCAATTAATTTTGAAGGTGGGGTGGCTGGCACAGGAATTCACATGTTTTTTTCTTGGCAATTTAAGTTTTAAATGTAAATTCCTTATTATATTGCAATTTCTATATTTTGGAAAATGAAAGGTGGATTTGGTTTTCAAAATATTGTTATGCACTTGATATTGGAAATTTTATGAAATATTTTAAGGAAGTTTTGTGGACTTATTTTAAAATCTTGAATTGAAGTTCATATAATGAAAAGGTGAAGAATATTGCAAAATGTTCAAGATAGCATTTTTCTAGTTGAAAATGGTTCAAAACTTAAAAGAAAATGTGAGAAAGTATGTGATTTTCATTTTACAGAAAATCACACTCCACTCAAATACTCCCTCCGTTTCTTATTAAATGTCGTTTTAATTTAAAACTTCTAAATTACGATTTTAATGGATTGTGTAATAATCTTATTTTTTAATCTTATTAAATTTAATTTTTGATTTATTAATGGGTCGTTTTTAAAGATAATGATAAGAGATAATGTTTGTTAAAGAGAATAAAGATGTAAGAATGAATATAATATTTTCAACGACAATTAATTTGCAAAAAAGTTGACACCCTACAACGACATTTAAAACGAAACAGAGGGAGTAATGGATAATATATAAAGTATCCTAATTTTATGTTTGAATGGATCAAACTGTTAGTGTTGATCCGCCGTAATTTTTAAATAAAAATTATATACTTTTTATAAATGTTATAAGAATGGGCAAACTATTAGATATTTTTTTAATAAAACACATATTTTGTTAAAAAGTTATATTATTCCCAAGAGTATGACATTTATATATATTTGTTAAAAATTATTATGAATGTCTAAAAAGTGTGTAAATGCAATTCATTGGCACCTACCATTTTATTTTTTCTGATATTATAGTGGACCAAACAAATAATTCATTTGTACAAGGATTGTTAGAATTTTAATTCTATAGGACCCAAAATGTAGGGTAATTTTGAAATATTCAATAATTCGTGGATCAAAACTCAATTTATTGTCCGTCCCCAACTCAATCCCAGGCCAAACCAGCTCCGCTAACATAAGCCTCCCTCCTTCGCTAATATGAGCCTTTTTTCGTGCCCACAAAATCGAACCTTTATGCCCTCTCACCATGCCAGGCGCCCTCAAACTCAGCAAATTCACTATCCTTCACGCCCACAAACCCTACAAATTCCTCAACAATTTCCCTTCCTCCGCCTTCCCATCCACCGCCGTCGCCGTCTCCGTCAATTCGAGACCAATCCCATCGCTCAAGTACTTGTCAGGCAGGTGGTTCGGGGTAGCCCCATGCTCAGCCGCCGCGCATTTCGACGATACGATTGGATTTCGCCATAGCCGGAGACACGGCCGGAATTTATGCTTCTACACATCCGAACCTAGGAACAGCGGCCGAGACGGCCGTTCACATCGCGGGAAGAGCGATCATTGTGTGACCCAGATGGGTGCAACCGTTCACGGCAAGGCCGGAGGCGAATACGATCAATCAGACGCGTTGCCACCGTCAGACTACGGCGAGAAGCCGCCGGTGGATCCGACTAAGTTGCTCACGTTGCCCACGATCTTGACGATTGGTCGCGTGGCCGCCGTGCCGTTGCTAGTCTACAGTATGTGCTGAATTTCACATCTCTTATCTGTTTAGTTTGTCTCTGCTGATTTGGTAATTGATGCATCCAGATGTTCAACGGCCGAACAAGTGATATTGTTTTCTTCGGAAAAAGGAAGTTTACAGTTTTGCGACCTAAAGTTTGGTTCTTTTTTATAATTGCAACTTGAAGTTCACGACACTTCATAATTTGCAACCTCTAGTGCACCTTGACTGTATACGTGTGTGGTTTTCAGTATGATTTTGTGGTTAAGATGCACTTGAGGTTTTCCAATGATGAAGTTTTGTAAACGTCTGGTTGCATTTTAAGAATAAAAGAAAGTTCTTTAGGTTGCTAAATCTAAAAGCGTGCAAAGAATAGTTTGCAAATTTTGCTTTTTACTGTTTTTTATTATTCATTTTCATCTATTAGGAGATGGCACGCACAAGTGCTGATGAATTTAGGTTCTATGCAGTTGCTACCTTCTACATTTTGTTTGGTATCCATTTCTGTCTATCTAATGTTGGCTGTTTTTAAACCGGTATTGGACTTGATGAAATTGACGCATTAATATTTGTGCTCTAGCATTTTATGTTGATAGCTGGTGGGGACCAAATGCCACTGTAGGAATTTTCCTTGCCGCTGCCACTACAGATTGGCTTGATGGATACCTAGCGAGAAAGGTGCTGCCTTTTCTGCCTTAAATTTCAGGAATGCGTCCAATTATCTTTAATTATTCTGTTACCGACATGTCTGTCTTACTACAATGGTGTTACAGATGAAGTTGGGTACTCAATTTGGTGCATTTTTGGATCCAGTGGCTGATAAGGTAAAAACTGGTTCTTTGAAACATTCTATATGGTTGAGTATAATTGTCTATCAGAGTTTCTCAGTTCACAGTATTGATATCAATTAGAAAAAAGAATAGAAAGAAAGAAAGAAAAAAGTGAAAATATATGAAATGTAGAAGTGTTGAGAAAAGATTTGACTTTTGAGTATTGTTGCAGCTGATGGTAGCTGCTACATTGATATTGTTGTGTACCAGACCATTTGAAGCTGGAATGTTTGGGCAAGTTCCATGGTTATTGACAGTGCCTGCAATTGTCATAATCGGTAGGGAGGTAAGATCCTAAGTTCTCCGTGATATAAAAATCCAAGTAAAATGAGTTATTAATACTGGAAATATCATGTCTGACTTGATCATAAACTTGTAGATCACCATGTCTGCTGTCAGAGAATGGGCTGCTTCTAAGGATAAAAAGCTTCTAGAGGTTCAAATTCAGGAGCGCATAACTTTCAATTACAAGTCTATTTCATGACATATCAGATTGTTTATTTTGTCAACCAATCACTCAGACTTTATCCACTCCTCTCAGGCTGTTGCGGTTAATAATCTAGGAAAATGGAAAACTGCCACTCAGATGACTGCATTAACCATCCTTTTAGCAGCCAGAGATGGAAGGTTTTCATTCTTTTTTATGTATTTTAAGCATATATTACTGGAGCAGCATCGGAAACTACCTAGAGTTTGTTCTAATTACTAAATACCTCAGGTATCTTTCAAAGTACAAATAATTCACGGAAGTAATACAGGCAACCATCTCCGGTTTTTCTTACAAGTCATAATAAATATCTCCATATATTATGGTGCAATTTGGATGCGAAGGGGATATTTGTAACTTCGAAAGATACCGGGGGTTTTCTGTGTAATTAGACTTACCCTTAAGTGTATTTGTTGGAATTACTCCAAATTTCATTAATTCGATATATATTTCTCTCTCTGTCTCTCCCTCCCTCCTTCCCTCTCTCTCTCTCTCTCTCTCTCTCTCTCTCTATATATATATATATATATATATACAGTCTTGTAGGCGCTGGAACTCTTGTGTCTTCAGGGGTGTTGCTACTCTATGTTTCAGCATGGCTATCCTTATGGTCACTGGTTGTGTACATGAGAAAGATATGGAAAGTGCTGCTTCTGTAATAAACATTGATGGACCGCGAGTTGTGCTTTTGGTTTAGTGTCAGTTATAGTCGATACTTGGGTCATCGTCATCCTTTGTGGCTATATGGAGATGGATACTTTATACTCTTAAGATACGGACGGAAAGAAAAGCGTATTTTTTGCTTGATGGCCGAAAATCGTCCACTAAGAAATGTATTCACTTAGGAATGTATCGAGATCAAGAAATCCCAAGTCTTACCATTCACCGACAGTCATTATGGTAGATGGTTAATATGTAGTTTCCTTATAGTATCATGAGAGTTTTTGCAGCTTGGTGGGGTCCAATTTAACTTGCTGTATTCACCAGCTGTACTAATTTATTTAATGTATACATGGTAAGATGATGGCTGATTATTTACTGATATTCTAAAAACATTTGAAGCACACTGTGCTGTGATTTGATGTACATGCGTTGATATTTTGACTGAAACTTACAGTGTAATCGTACAATAGTGTCGGTTTTTACAGTTAATGTTTTCGTTTTGTCTTAATGACGTCAGCCCAATTTTAAGGAAGCATCATTGTGCTTTGAAATGTTACTCAAATGGCTCAAAAACCGAACATCAGCTGCTTAGAATCTTTGCAGCTTCGTGTACATTACAAGTGACCCAAAGAAGAAGAAGAGATGAAAAATGAAAGTTGCTATAGACTTGCCTTTGTATAGGTTTTATGCACAACATCACAAGTCTTGTTTGTTTGCTATGTAGAACCCAAGAATGTGTTCCTTAAACAGTCATCTAACATTGTTTCATATTTCTGGCACAATCATTAACATCTTTGTAAAGTTTTTTCGAGAAGCTATTTCTGACAATCAAATCAAGCTATTGTCCAAGAAGAGAACTACAACTGTGATGTCATCGTGAAAATGTCTCCTCAATCCTTTCTCCACCTTCTTCAGGTCAGAATATATTTCTCTCTCTTGCCGCCTTGCGCAGGCATGCTTTCACGAGTTTTCTGGCAATGCCCTTCAATTGAAAAAAAAGAAACAAGAAAAAGTCTTGTCAGTGAAAAATGAACACTAGAAACAGGGAACAAAGGGAAAAAAGCATTTAATCATCAATCATTACATATCTTGGGGAATAGTTTACAAGGTCAACAGCCTATTGATTGCTGAGATGCTCCCACAAACTATCAGAAGCAAATATAAGGAATCGGTCACAAGGGTCGATTTCTTGAACGAGCATTTAATCTATCGCTTTTTTTTTTTTTTTNAGTCTCCCTAAAACCGCCGCATCTATCCCCCACCAAACAACACGACCCCACCGATTTGTGGCTTGATTTCCCATTCCCTTTTTGTTATAAATCGAGTATAAAAATTACACGGGAATCCTATGAACTGATATGTATTTTTTTTTTTAGTTTTTAATAATAATCTAAAATTAAAAAATTACAACTGAATTGAAAAAATAAATTACAACTGAAAAATATATTAAAACATAAAAATTTTGTGAGGCGAGTAATACTTTTTCCGCAAGAAGAATACACCCCGTGTCGCAGCTAACGCCTCAAGCGTAACTTTCCTAAAGATACAACGGCAAACGTCTATAAATCTGTAGCACACCAGATTTACGAGCTCCCGTGTCGCAGCTAACGGCTCAAGCGTAACTTTCCCAAAGATACAACGGCAAACGTCTCTAAATCTGTAGCACATCAGATTTCCGATCTCCTGCAAACTGGAACGAAATCGAGAATTAAGTACTAAAAATAAAAATATATATAATATTTTTTTTTTTTTTGCCTTTTCTTTTCTCACGTTATTTTTTCTTCTCTCTATTCCTTTTCTTTTTCTCTCATTTTCTCTTCTCCTCTCTCTTCCTTTCCTTTTCTTTCCTTCCCTTTCTTTCTCTGCGTGTATTTTTGTGCTCCTCTCATCAAATGAACAGATGCTAATTATAGAGGAAAATGTGATCATCTTACCATTTTAAAATGGTTGGTGAAAGAATAAGAATAAGTTGTTGGAATATTAGGAAGAATATTAGTTTTCAAAATTAATTTAAACTCAATTATTACAATCCCCCACATGAGTTTAAATTAAATATATATAATAATGTGCTCAATCCTCACAAAATTCTATTACATCAGAAAATGTAGCTTTTGGCTTTGAACCTTTCTTAGTAAACATCATCGGATGCACTGACGGACTAGTGGACATAATGCCTTGAACTATTCCTCCATAGTGTACACCTAGACAATGACATTCACACAATAGAGTCTTAACTCCATGTCGTTCTATCGTTGTGTCCGTTTTGGCCATGGACAACACAATGGATTCATAAGTGTTTACATTTGAAGCGGTCCACACTTCACACTTATATAGGTGACCTCCCTATCAAGAATATCCTGTCATACTCCACCTTTACAAGGTTAGGGATTCATTAAAAGTCCATATGACTTACCCTCACCACAATCAACAGGTCATCTTGCACTTGGAGTGCTCTAGGGAATAGCTTTGAACATTCATATGTTCCAAGTGCTCAATTGAATTTTCATAGCTTAGTTTTCCCTTTGAACCAAGTTCTGGGATTTCCACTCAGCATGGTAGGGTTACCACTATGATCATTCTTTTCATTGTAGATTTTTAAGCCCATTCCCTCTAGCAAAACTATTAATTGATCTCTATTCAATTCTTTCGTCAAAGGATCAGCCAAATTTTCCTTAGACTTCACATAGTCAATGGAAATAACACCATTTGTGATCAATTGGCGTACGGTATTATGTCTACGACGAATATGTCTAAACTTACCATTATACAAGTTACTTTGCGCCCTACCTATAGCAGCTTGGCTATCACAGTGAATCATCACAGGTGGCAAAGTCTTATCCCAACATGGAATATCGGATAAAAAATTTCTAAGCCACTCGGCTTCTTCACCAGCTTTATCTAAAGCGATAAACTCTGATTCGATAGTTGAACGAGCTATACACGTTTGTTTTGTGGATTTCCACGAAACTACACATCCTCCAATACAGAAAACATATCCGCTAGTGGAGCGAGAATCTCTCGAATCTGATATCCAGCTTGCATCACAGTACCCTTCAAGTACAGTTGGATATCTCGAGTACTTTAGCCCGTATTCAAGGGTGTACCTCAAGTACTTAAGTACCCTTCTCAAAGCATTCCAGTGTCCATGATTGGGATTGCTCGTAAATCTGCTCAACTTATTCACCGGATAGGCCAAGTCTGGTCGTGTACAATTCGTCAGGTACATCAGACTCCCTATTATCCGTGAATATTCCAACTGAGCCACTGGTTGACCTTTATTGGCTACCAGATTTATACTAAGATCAATGGATGTCTTACACCTAGACTGTGCACCGTCATAAGTATCAAATTTCTTGAGCAGTTTCACAATATAATGAGATTGTGACAAGACAATTCCATCTTGGGTTCTGATAATCCTTATTCCAAGAATAACATCAGCCAAACCCATATCTTTCATGTCGAAATCTCTTTTCAGCATTCTTTTGGTATCCATGATCACTTCATGGCTACTACCCATGATCAACATATCGTCTACATATAGACATACAATCACAAATGTATCTGATGTACGCTTGACATAAACACATTTGTCACAGTCGTTGATTTTGAACTCATTTGACAACATCACGTCATCAAATTTCAAATGCCATTGTTTTGGAGCATTTCAGTCCGTAAAATGATTTGATCAATCTACACACCTTTCTCTCTTGTCCAGGTGCAACAAACCCTTCAGGTTGTTCCTTGTATATTTCTTCTTCCAATTCACCATTCAAAAATGCCGTCTTGACATCCATTTGGTGAATCTCAAGATTGTGCAAAGCAGCAATCGAGAGAAGCACTCTTATCGACGCTAAACGCGTAACTGGTGAATAGGTATCAAAGAAATCATACCATTCCTTTTGTTTAAAGCTTTTTACCACCAATCTTGCTTTAAACTTATCAATCGATCCATTAGCTTTATATTTCTTCTTTAGGATCCACTTGCATCCTAAAGGTTTACAACCATCAGGGAGATCAACCAACTCCCAAGTATGATTTTGCATAATGGACTCGATTTCACTATTTACAGCTTCTTCCCAGAGTGGTCCATCTGGGTTTGACAGAGCTTCCTTAGGGGAGCTCGGTTCATTGTCCAACATGTACGTAATAAACTCAGGTCCAAACGTTTTCGCCGTTTTTAACCTTTTACTACGTCTCGGTTCTTCATCAGTACCCTCTGGTACATAACCACTAGCAGTTTCATACGTTCGTTTATTAGAACTAGATTCTGCTCTTTCCTTCAGAGGAAAAATATTCTCAAAGAATATAGCATTCCTCGATTCAATCGTAGTACCAACAGATACCTCTGGATTTTCTGATTTATGAACCAGAAATCTATATGTTGTACTATTGTACGCATATCCAATAAATACACAATCGACCGTCTTTCGCCCGATTCTCCTTTGTTTGGGTTCCGGTAGTGAAACCTTAGCCAAACACCCCCACACTTTCAGGTGTTTATAAGACGGCTTACGATTTTTCCACATTTCGTAAGGAGTCTCATCTTTCCCTTTAGGTGGTATTTTATTCAAAATATGATTTGCTGTTAAAACAACTTCCCCTCACATGTTCTGTGGTAATCCTGAATTCATCAACATGGCATTCATCATTTCTTTTAAAGTACGGTTCTTGCGTTCAGCAACACCATTCGACTGTAGAGAGTAAGGGGCCGTCGTTTGATGAATTATGCCATATTCAGAATATATTTGTTCAAAAGGAGCTACATACTTCCCACCCCTATCACTTCGGATTATTTTAATCCTTTTGCCGAGTTGATTTTCAACTTCGGTCTTATAGATCTTAAATGCTTCCAAAGCCTCGTATTTGCTTCTTAACAAATATAAGTAGCAAAACCTTGTGCAATCATCGATACAGGTAATAAAATACATTTTACCAGTTCTTGTTTGCACACTTTTCATATCACATACATCAGTATGGATCAAGCCTAATGGTTCAGTACTCCTTTCCACCGAGTAAAAAGTCAACTTAGCCATTTTTGCTTCAATACAAATTTCACATTTTGTATTTGTCTCAAATTTAGAATTAGGAATTAATTCTAAATTCATCAACCGTTTAATTGCATTTAGATTTACATGTTTCAATCTAGTATGCCATAAATCAGAGCACTCAACGGTATAAACAGAAATAGGCCTTTCATTATCAACGGTTACACGGCTCTTGGCCATTACATTCATTTTGAACATACCCTTGTCGAGATAGCCACGACCAAGAAAAGTTCCAAACTTGCTAAGAACAAATTTTTTAGCATCAAATACCAGCCTAATCCATGCTCAGCAAGAAGAGATCCGGAGACCAAATTCTTGCGGATGTTTGGGACATGCAGAACATCCTTAAGCTTCAACTCCTTTCCAGAAGTCAGCTTCAGCACCACAGTGCCCATTCCAGCGACATCAGCCGTGGCGGAGTTTGCCATGTAAAGTTTCTGACTCTTAGCAGGAGTGTATTCAGAAAACACCTCCTTATTGGAACACACATGACGAGTGGCACCAGTATCGATGTACCACTCCCTTGGGTTATCCACCATATTGGCTTCAAACACCACAGCCGACATATCAAAGTCGGTCAGTTCACCCAGCACAGGGCCTTGTTCAGCCACAAGGGCACTCGGTTTACCTTTCTTTGGCCTCTTGCAGTCTTTAGCCATATGGTTCGGCTTTCCACAATTATAGCAAGTTCTGGTAAACTTCCAAACCTTGGCAGGCTGCTTCCCTTTGTCTAGGGACTTCCTCTTGCTCAAATTGCCTTGCTCTATCAAGTTAGCACGGGCCTCCATCATCGGAATTTTCCCAGATGAATTACGATTGTCCTCCTCAATACGAAGACGAACAATCAAGTTTTCAAGACTCATTTCCTTCCTCTTATGTTTGAGGTAGTTCTTGAAGTCTTTCCAACCCGTCGGCAGTTTTTCAATCACAGCCGCAACTTGGAATGACTCGCTTAGAGACATTCCCTCAGCATGAATATCGTGCAAGATGAGTTAGAATTCTTGCACTTGTGACACAACGGTGTTTGTGTCAACCATTTTGAAGTCAAGAAATTTTCCGACGACGAATTTCTTCGCCCCGGCATCCTCGGTCTTGTACTTCTTTTCCAAAGCAGCCCAAAGCTCTTTGGCAGAACCAACCGAGTTGTACACATTGTACAACTCGTTACTAAGTCCGTTCAGGACATAGTTATGGCAAAGGTAATCACCTTGCCTCCAAGCTTCGTACGCAGTGCGTAGTTCAGTATTGGTCTCATTTTCAGAAATAACTGGGGGGTCGTCCTTCAGGTATTTCACGAAACCCAAAGTGGTCTGGTAAAAATGCATCTTTTGTTGCCACCATTTAAAATCAATCCCATTGAATTTTTCGGGCTTCTCAGCAGTAGGGACATGGACAGCAGGTACATAATTGATCGGATGCTGAGTGTTGGAAGCATTTCCGACGGAAGCCATCAGTCCAGTAGGTTGAGATATTCTTCTTGCGATTGTTATAAATCGAGTACAAAAATTACACGGGAATCCTACGAACTGATATGTATTTTTTTTTTCAGTTCTTACAAATAATCTAAAATTAGAAAATTACAACTGAATTGAAAAAATAAATTACAACTGAAAAATAAATTAAAACATAAAGATTTTAGCGAGGCGAGTAATACTCTTTCCGCAAGAAGAATACACCCCGTGTGGCAGCTAACGGTTCAGGCGTAACGTCCCCAAAAATACAACGGCAAACGTCTTTAAATCTGTAGCACACCAAATTTACGAGCTCCTGCGAACTGGAACGGAATCAAGAATTGAGCACTAAAAATAAAAATATATATAATATTTTTATTTTTATTTCTTTCCTTTTCTTTTCTCATGTTTTTTTTTTCTTCTCTCTATTCTTTTTCTTTTTCTCTCATTTTCTCTTCTCCTCTCTCTTCCTTTCCTTTTCTTTCCTTCCCTTTCTTTCTCTGCGTGTATTTCTGTACTCCTCTCATCAAATGAACAGATGCAAATGAACGAGGGAAATGTGATCATCTTACCATTAATTAAAATGGTTGTTGAAAGAATAAGAATAAGTTGTTGGAAGAATAAAAATAAGTTGTTGGAATATTAGGAAGATAATAATTTTCAAAATTAATTTAAATTCAATTATTACACTTTTAACCAGAGGAACTCCTTTTTTGTCATCGAGTATCCTCACCTGGTAACATCGGCCGACATTTCTTCTTCATCTAATGCAAACTCTGGATCACAAAAAATCGTCAAAACGAGTGAACGTGCAGCAGGAGCATCATAAACCAGTTTATAGCATACAAAATCATACTCTTAATATTTTCGAAAAGTGATCCCTTATAAACCGCGAAGCTTCGGGCCATCCATGCTCGTCGTACACTCCGACAAATATGCCTTGTGGGCCCGGCCCAGACTCGATCTGGTTGTGATCCTCCATTACGTTGTTAGCTGTAGCCATCGAGAAATCTCCATGGACCCTAAATCACTGTATGACCACAACCTGTGGACACGATTTTTCGCCTCCATTCTTGTCCGACGACCCCTAACATTTGAACACAAGCTTTTTCCACACAACGCTCGATTCCATATTATTTTCTCTAGATTTTTCAAAAATGCTGCCTTCAGATTCAATCATCTCAAGTTTTTCATCAAATGCAACCCCACATCATTAAAAGGAAAAAAAAAAAGAAAAAAAAAATCATATGCTGCAGAAAATTAAACCATTACAACAAACAATATAGAACAATGGCAGCAAGTAAATGTGTTAGAAAACAAATTAGTAAATTGTGCATAGCTCAATTAGTTATATGCTCCAATTAGTGATTAAAAAACTAAAAAGAAAGGATGATTATGCATATTACCGAACACCAAGAACCAGCAAACATGGCGGCAATCATAGCAATTTTGAATTAGATACCAAGTTTTTAGT